AAAGAGTTATGACTAACTTCATTAAGAGCAGTTACGTATTCTCAATGATTGGGAAAATAAAATGCCTATAGTTACTTTGACACATTTGTTCCAATATTGAAATACATATTTAATTTCAATTTAGCTAACCTAGCATAATCTTTGGTGTATTATATGATTTGCCAACAGTAAGTGTAAATTTCTTTACTCCAAAATATTTTCCTCGTCGGAAATAGCATATCCTGAATCTGCTATCCACTTAAAGATGAAGAATAGGAATATATGTAAGTATTATATGTCTTAGTCCTTCTGAATCTCTGAGTAAGGATATACTAATTGTATTCCAATATAATATTCAGAATATAATATCTATTATATTTAATATAAGAATATTCTAGTTACATTCCGATATAATATTCGGAATATTCCAACTATGAACACAAATAACAATAACGATAAGCAACCCTTTGAATCGAGAACCTAAACAACCTCCTCTACCCCTAAATAACATAAAATACAAACGAATTTTATCAAAATTGGATATCACATGATTTCCCTGTATGACAAACACGAAATGACAGCGGTACTCTGAAAAGCAAAACATAACGCCGAATAGCACCGCCATCGCAACAGAGCACAGCAGAGCACAGCAGAGCTCGGCAAAACAGAGCAAAGTACAACAAAGCACAAAACTGCAGCGTCCAGCACAGCACAGTATTGCTCAGCACAACAGAGAACAGAATAGAACCGCCACATAGCAAAGCACAGCAGAGCACTGTCCAGTACAGTACCGAAACGAATAGCTCCACCACTAGCGCAGAACACAGCAAAGCGCGGGATTGTGCAGCAAAGCTCAGCATACCGCTAACGAATAACGCCGAAGAAGGATGGTTAGCACTACTTAGATCAATACCGCACGCAATAGCACCGCCACCACAGCAGAGCACAGCAGAGCGCAGCGGCGGGCAACACAGCGCAGCAAAGCACCTCAGATCACAACATAGCACCGAATAGAACCGCACAGCATCGGCCAGCACGGCAAATCACAGCACTGCACAAAATAGCACCAACACCACAGCTGAGCACAGATGAGTGCAACAGAGCGCAGCAGAGCCCCGACTAGCAACGAACAGCAGAGTACAGCACTGCACAGCACCATGTAGCACCGAATATCGCCACTTCAACAGCAGAGAACAAGAGAGAACAGCAGACCGCAGTAGAACGCAGCAGAGACTGTAAAGCAGAAGAAAGTACCGAATAACACCGATCAGAACAGCACAGCGCTCTTCAGCAAAGCACTGTTCAACACTGCACGGTAACGAATCGCGCCGCCACCAAAGTAGAGCGCAGCAGAGTGCAGCAGAGTGTAGTAAAATGCAGCAGAGTGCAACAGAGTACAGCAGAGCACAGCAGAGCACAGAATAGCGCCGAATATCACCGATTAGGACAGATTAGCACTGCCTAGAATAGAACTGCACACAATAGCACCGACACCTCAGCAGTGCATAGCAGAGCTCAGAAAGGCGCAGCCGAGCACAGCTGAGCATAGTATAGCACCGTATACCGAAGCGTAGCACACATTAGCTCTGCTTAGGCAGCACCGCTCTGAATTGCAACGCCACCACAGCAGAGCGAAGCAGCGCGCAGCAGAGCGCAGCAGTGATCAGCAGTAATCAGCAGAATACATTAAATGACCGAATTCCAGCAGATAGCATCGAACATCACAGATCAGAGCTGTTTTAGTCAGAACCGTACTGGATTCTATCACCACCACAACATAGGACAGCAGAGCGCTGGAAAGTGAAGCAAAGCACAGCAGAGCGCTGTATAGTGTCGAATAACACTGATTAACAGTGGTTAGCACTGCTTAGGACTGAAACGCACTGAATAGCGCGAAAACAGCAGAAGAGCACAGTATAGCGCAGAATACCACCGAATAGCAAATATTAGTTCTTCTGAAGATAGGATTGCCTCGAAAAGCAGCACCACCACAGCAGAGCACAACAGTTGGCAGCAGGAAGCAGCAGAGGTCAGCAGAACGCAGTAAATCGTCGAACACCACCGAATACCGATAAGTGGACGAGACTAGCATTGTTTAGAATAGCAGGGTCGAGATCCAGCCGTTCGACCCGTAGCGACCATCATTCTCGCCCTCGCCACTAGATGGATTCCGCCGTCGAGGACTTTCTTGTAAATCCTCGGAAAGCTTCCAGTTCCTATATATATATATAACTTCGCGTCTTTCCAATAGTAGCCCCAGTGTCTGAGGCAGGGCCTGCTAATCAAGCCTTACTGATGAGTCCGCTAGCAGGCCCGGGACGATACGCATCCCTTCCTTTTCCTAACGTCCCTTCCAGCTGCGCCAACCACGGAGGATACTTGTGAGCATCTAACTCCAAAGGACCGTGGGAGAGGACTCCCCACATTGGTGACCCCGAACAAAGAACAACAACGCAACCTTTTAGAGCAACAAGGATGGAAACGAGCGACAGCAATGACCACGAGGAGAGTTCGCAACCTGCCTACTAGGATAGAAACGCATCGGGACTCCAACGAGGCTCCCCCTATAAATAATGGAAGACGAATCGAATCCAGGCTCGAAGACCAACGTGCTCGCCGGTTAATGCAAACCTTCCCGTTCGCCAAAGCGATGCCACAACCATCCTATGAGGGCAGAAGAACTCTACACTACAACGGTCCAGGCTTTATGGACGCCATCGCCAAGAGTAAGAGCCGCTGCAATCTCATCATCATCTCAATATATCGGTAATCACTGGCAGGGGGTGATGTAGCGATCATCATTCCCGTCCTCGCCACTAGATGGTCTTCGCCTTCGAGGACTTTCCCGCAAGTCCCCCAGACGTCTGGGCCCCTACCCAGGTGCCCACGGTCAGCCCAGGTTGTCGGTTGCGGTGTGTAGGAGAGCTGACCAACCATTCCTACAGCCAGGTCAAAGGCGTGACAAGGGTTAAAACCGTGCCGGTACAGCCGGTAACGAGGCGAGCCTGCGACGCTCTCGCCGCCAGCGTCTCCGCCTGCGGGCAGTGTTCGCTAGTTTTCGGGCACTCTGCGCGGCCTCCCTCTGGTGCATAATATTCTCACAGAAGGAGGCCATTTCTCTCCACGAACTCTCGCTCCGCACCATCTGTGAAACGATATCAGAGAGTGAGAGGATCCGAAATGCTGGAAGAGGACACGGCGCTACCTTGCCAAAGCCTGGTACTCCTCCAGTGTATGTTGCGCCGTGTCGAGCTCGGCCCCACAATGATGGCATTGTGCCGTCGCCTTCTAGTCGATTTTATGCAGGTACTAACCGAAACAACCGTGCCCAGTGAGCACCTGCGTGAGGCGATAGGTGAGCCTTCCGCCGCTGTGCATCCAGTCCCACAGAACTGGAAGCAAAGCTCTGACGGCCCTGCGGCGCGTGCTGCGCGGCCGCCGCAGACGTTCGCGCCACTCCGCCACAATTGACTGCCGGACATGACGCCTCAACGCAAGGGCCTCCTCAGCGGGCAGACCTCCGCCACGACGGAGGATCTCCTATACACGAGCCTCCCCAGCCGCAACGAAGTCAAACGGTGGTAACCCCGCCATGATCGTCGCCGCCTCATGGGACATCGTACGATAACCACTCACTATCCTGATCACCAGCCTCCTCACTACGCTGCCGAGATTGTAGCAGCTCCGCCGGCTGGCCAACAGGTCGACCGCCCAGACTGGTGCCCCGTAAAGGGCCATGAAGCGGACGACTCCCGTATAATGGCGGACTCTCATCTGGTCCACCTATATTGCGTAGCAGTCGGCCTTGGGCCATAGCTACGCAGTCGAGACGGGGTCCCAGAATACCAAATTGTGTGTCGAAGCCCCAGTGGCCATCGAGCGTGAGGCTGAGGTACTTCAATCGGTCGCTCACCTCGACAGACACATCACCCACCCGTACCCGGGACTGGGGCTGACGCCCACGAGACTTGCGGTAAAACCACATAGCCTCGGTTTTATGTGGCGCTACGCGCAGCCCCAGACTCCGGATTCTCCGGGCGACACAACGCCGAGCTCAGCGGGCCTAGTGGTCCTATCCCACTCCCTCCCGCCAGCCGTGACGAGTGTCGTGAGCGTAGCAAGTCACGCTGACACCGGCAGGGACAAAACCCCTCAGCACAGCGTCATACGCGAGGTCCCAAAGGATTGGGCTTAGAACCGAACCCTGCGGGACACCGTAATGCATTTCCCTCAGAATCACTCCGCACCGGCCCGTATATTCTATGAACCTACCAGAGAGGTATACCTAGATCACCTCCTCCCCCCCATGAATGCGTTGACAATATCCAAACTCGCCGCCAACGCTACCCCACCCTGGTGGACAACCGCCTCAGACAGGGTCCTGACACGTAGAATCTCATCGATAGTAGATCGTCCCTGTCAGATGCCAAACTGGCGATCGTCCAGATTGAGTCCAATCCCAGAAACATGTTTGCCGAGACGGGCAGCCAACACTCGCTTAAAGAGATTTCCCGCCTCGTTCAGGAGGCAAATAGGCCGGTAGGCGGAGGGAGAATCGAGGGGCTTTCCGCTTTTATGGATCAGAACCACCCTCGCTCTCTTCCAACACTGCGGGAAGCGGTCGGTCCGCTGGCAGCAGTCAAACAGCTGCCTCAGCCGACCGCTCAGAACGCCCTGGGCCAAAAGATGGACACGATCAGGAATGGCGTCCCGTCCATGCGCGGTGTATCTGGATCGCACGGTCCAGTTCTTCACTCGTGACACTCACCTCGGTGGACCCGGTGGGAGGATCTGTCAAATTAGCGTGGGGCCGACCTTTCTCCGTCATCGGGAAGAGTGTTTTAATCACCCGATGCAATAACTGTGGTTCCATACCCTCCGTGAGTGGGGGAGGCCCGCGCCCTCAGCTTTCCCATTACCAGGCGGTAAGGACGACCCCACGGATCATTATTCAACGTCGCGTTGGATTCCTCCCATCTCTGGATTTTAGTCTCCTTGATGGCCTGCTGCATAATAGTCGCCTACCTGAACGTTTTATATTGCAGCGCAGTTTCTGCCCCGTCAGTCCTCCTTCTCCGGCGGGCTCGGGTGCAGGAGCGTCGGGCGAGAACGCGCTGAGCTCGTAAATGCGAAATATCATGCGACCACCAATAGACGGATCCTGTGGGCGGTTCTCCGGCTCTCGGCATAGCGACGTCGCAGACTGATGTTATTGCCCAGCGAAACCACTCAGCTCCCTCCTGGGCTGTACAGTCTACCCTCGTCCTCTCCGGCAAAACCACGGCATGGACGGCTGCCATTAAGGCGTCCTGGTTAAGGCGCCCTAGTGCCCACCTCGGTGGTGAGGGTACATTCCCACTGTAGGATTCGTGGCTGCTCCTCGAGTAAGCGGTGATATTCAAGAGGATGTGCAGGTGGTCACTAAAAGTCTCCAACTCGTCCGCCACCCTCCACGCCAAAACCCGCAGTGCGGCGGCCGGTGCTGCAAACAAAATATCGACAATAGACATACCGGACCACCACTCCCACGAGTCAGTGCTGCCACGGTTTAATAGTCGAAGGTCCAGGCCCACGGCTTAATCGAGCAGCGTCTCGCCTCTCACATCCGTTCTGGGGAAATCCCATGCTGCTGCGTGGGCGTTAAGGTCCCCCAGGAGGAGGACGGGACGGAACCTTTTCTTTTTTTTCCTTTTTCTCTTTTTTCTACGTGGGGGAAATCTTCGAAAAGATACCCGACCACCCTAAGGGAGGGGGCAGTGTTGTGTGGGATTTGTAACCACTAAAACCCCCACGATATCAATCCTTTCGAGATATCGGAGCGTCCTGCACTTCGCGGCGACGGAAGTGCCAGGACGTCCCCGCAACGCAACCCGCAGGTTCCCTCCCGGCGCGAAGGGAACACGCTCCTCGATCTCACATACAGCACGTACGCAGTGACGGGTCGAGACTTACATGCCTCCATACATCGCTCCATCCACACTCATGCCCGCACACCCTGCGGACGCCACAGGAGCATGACGAGGCGCCACGCCCTCGAACCACAGTCCCTCGAACAGGGGATCCCCCACCCACCTGCCCGTGGTCTCACTGACCTAGGTTACAACGTGGAAGAGAGACTGTCACCTCGGCCGTAGGTGCAGGGCCGCTCGCGTAGGCGGAGGGCTAACGCGTTAAACCATCCGGCAGGGCGCGCGGCGCCAAGCGACGCCGCACTCGCAGACTCCGCCGCCCTACGCGCGAGGAGCCCTCGCTAGGCTCGCGGACTCTCTCTCTCTCTGCGGCCTCCTTCTGCAGCATAACCTCCTCGCAGAAGGAGGCCATCGCACGCCACGCGCTCGCGCTCTCCGCCACCTGCGGGACGATGGTGGAGAGCGAGAAGTCCGCCCCACAACGCGACAAAGAACCCGGCGCTCGCGAGACCACGCTGGACATTCCTCCAGCGTGTGCTGCGCCGTGCCCCGCCCTTCTCCGCAGTGGTGACACTGCGTTGTTCTCTCACGTCCAGCCGACCCAGGAACTCCCCGAAACAACCGTGTCCGGAGAGCACCTGTGTCAGCCGGAACATGTGCCGGCTGCCGCTTCTCGCCCAGGCATCCAGCACCGTGAGCACGGCGCCGACGAGCCGGTGTAGTAGTCCGTATACACTGGCCTCCCTCCCGCCCCCCCCCCCCCCACTAGCAGGTCAAACGGTTGGATCCCCGCCAAGACCATCGCCGCTTCGTGGGAAATCTTGCGGTAACCTTGCACGACCCTGATCGCCATCCTGCTGGCGACTCGCCGGAGAATCGCCCGACTGCGCGGACTGGAGACCAGATCTTTCGTCCAGATCGAAGTCCCGTACAGGGCCACCGAGCGAACGGCTCCTGCGCAGGGACGGCGCACCATCCCGTCTTGCCCACCCAGGTTGGGGAGCAGGCAACTAAACGCCCACGCTACCCCTTCCAGGCGTGGTTCCAGCGCGAAGAAGTGCTCGTCGAAGCGCCAGTGACTATCAAGGACAGGACCGAGACACTTCATCCGGTCCCGAACCTCAACCATGGCATCGCCAACGTTCATCCGGATACGGGGCGGCTTCCCACGGGACCAATGGCAAAACCGCATGGCCTCGGTCTTCTCGGGTGAGATACGCAGCCCCAGCTGACGAATGCCGCTCGCAACTAGGACCACGCAGCTTTCCGCGCGGAGCGTGGCATCCTCCCAACTCGACCCGGAGGCCATCACCAGCGTGTCGTCCGCGTAACACGTCAGGCTGAGGCCGCGGTGGAGGGAAGTACGCAATACGGCGTCGTACGCGAGATCCCACAGGATCGGTCCCGAGAACGAACCCTGAGGAACACCGCAGTTCGACCCCCACGCGGCGGTCAAGTATCGTCCGGAATACTCGATCGTGCGCCACGACAAATAGTCACCGATCACCACCACCATATCCCGGGGAACCCTGTGATGCACCAGGGCGTACCGAATGGCGGCCCTGGGCAGGGAGTTGAAGGCGTTGGCGATGTCGACGCCAACTGCAGCACCACCCCGCCCCGGTCAACAGCAGTCCCCGACAGGGTACGAACGCGCTGAATCGTGTCGACCGTCAACCGTTCCTACCGGAAACCGAATTGGCTGTCGCTGAAATCGTGACCCTCGTCCGATAAGTGCTCTTGGAGACGGGCAGCTAGAACTCGCTCGAACGGCTTGACCACCTCGTCGAGCAGACATATCGGCCGGTATGCCTTCGGAGAGTCCGGCGGCTTCCCCGGTTTTGGGATCAACACGACCCTCGCTCTCTTCCAACGTACCGGGATGCGACTGGTCCTGAGGCAGCTGTCGAACAGCCGCCGTACCCGGTCGCCCCACGCCTCCAGAGCCAGTGCAGAGCCTCGGCCCGGGATGCCGTCTGGTCCGGGAGCGGTGCTCCTCGCCCAAATCCTAACGACCGCACAGCCCAAATCCTCTAGCTAGACCCCCAGCTCGTCGGACCATCCGACCAGGTCCGATCGCACTGCGACGGGTTGCACCCCCTCTTCCGCGATCACCGGGAAGAGGGCGTCGATCACCCGACGCAGGAGCTTGGGGTCCATACGCTCGGTCACCTAGGGCGGCCAAGCCCTCAACTTCCCCATAACCAATTTATAGGGGCGCCCCCACTGATCGTTTACAGGCGTCGCGAAGAGCTCGTCCCACTGCCGAGCTTTGGCTCTGCGGATCTCACTCCGGAGATCGCCCACCGCCGTTCGATACACGCGGTAGAAACGCGCGACGTCCTCGGCGGACACCGCGCGTCGTCGACGTCGTGCCCGAGTGTACCGGCGGCGGGAGAGCACGTACAGCTCTCGGAGCTGCGCCATTTCGTCCGACCAACAGTACACTGCCCCCCTCGTCGGTGGCTCCCTCACCTGCGGTAGGGCGACGTCGCACACGCGCGTCATCGCCGCCCTCAGCCGCTCGGCCCCTTCCCCCGCGTCGTCGATTACGCGCCCGACGTCACCATCCGCCCAGGCGACGATCTGGACGGCCGCGGCGAGAAGGTCGCGGTCGATGCGCACCAGCGACCATCGCGGCGCGGTGGCGTGCTTCCCTCCAAGGAGGGTTTCCCGAACGGTGCGAGACGTGACTGCGAGCATCATGGTGATGTGGAAGTGGTCGCTAAGCGTCTTCACCTCCACCGCCACCCACCAGTCGGTGACCCGCCGCACGGTGGCCATCGATGCGAACGACAAGTCCACGATGGACGTGCCGTTCCACCGGACGCAAGTGCTGATGGATCTCCGGTTTTGCAACCGGAGATCCAATCCCGCGGCCAAATCATGCAGTGCCACACCCCTCGCGTCTGTCCCCGGGGACTCCAAGCCATGGAGTGAGCGTTGAAGTCCCCCAGGACCAGAACCGGACGAGTCGAGTATCCGTTGAGGAACCTTCCGAGCTCGTCCAGATACCTCTCGCACGACGAGGGTACGCGGTTAGGGGAGACGTATCACCCGACCACGACAACTTCGCTCCTGGAGACCGCCACGAAGCCCTCACCGCAGTAAAGCAGGATGGGTGTGGGTGACCGAGGCAGTCCACCGGCGATAATCGCCACAAAGCCGTCCCGATCCCCAAACCACTCGTCTTGGTCGGGGATGCGGTACGGCCCGGTGGCAACAGCCAACCCAACGCCCAGCCCGACGAGCGTCTGCAGGAGCAAGTCCTGCGACACCCGCGAGTGTTTCAGGTTGGCCTGGAGCACCATGGACGGAGTGAATTTTAGGCCGTATCCATAGCCTCCCCCTAGCCCTCCCACCCTCTCTTGGGTCGGCTGCGAGCCCGGTGCGCCACCGGGCGACGGGCCCTTCGCGTTCACGGTCGCGGAGGCGGGTGATTTCACGGTCGCGTTATTCGATTTGACGCTCGCGGGCTCCGAAGCGGATACGGCGCCAACCGGCGCCAGGCGTGCCACCCCCTTCGCCTTTGGCGGACAGCGCGCCTTGCTGCCCAGCCGGTGGTCGGAGAGACGACAGATCCCGGCGAAGACAGGGCACTTGGGTGCAGGTGCCCTGCACCCACCGGCGCGGTGACCCGCCATGCCACACCTGAAGCAGGCGTCGTTGCGGTCCATCGCGTTGGTGCAGCCGTCCCTCGCGTGACCGAACGCGAGGCAACGGTAGCACTGGAGGCGTTGAGCCTCCAAGGCCACGACGAGGGCGGACGTCCACCCGACGCGGATCAACCCGCAATCGACGGCCTTTCGAGCTGCCGCGAGGTAACACTGGGCCCAGACCGTGCCGAGCCTCCAGGCGGATGACCGGATATCTCCGCTACTCACGTCCGCCTAGGTACACCCACTGACCCTAGCCAGGGCAGCGGCCACCTCGCCGGCGTGACAGAGTTGTCGAGCTCTGTCACCCTCAACTCACCCTTCTTACAGGGGACCGTCACGCGGACGCCGGTCCCCTCCAACACCTCGCACATACGGCCGGCGAGTGCGGCGGCTCGCTTTTCCCCCTCGGGTAACCCGATCTCCAGAAGGGGACCGTCGGAGGCGGCCCGACGGGGACGCCGATCATCGATCCCGAGGTCCTCGAAGCGTATTTTCAATCTCGTCGCAGAGATCGCCTCCGCGCAAGATAGCCTCGAGCCCTCGGGCACGCTAACCGCGACGGCGGCCCGCGACGGTGACCGCTTCATGGTGGGGCCCGGCTTGGCGCCACACTTCTCCTTTTCCGCACTGGTCTTCGCACCGGTCTTCGCTGCGGTCCTAGGGCGCTGGAGAGCGGAGCTCGTCCCCGCGGCGTGGCGCCTCGTCTTACCTCCGGAACCACGGAACCTAACCCTTCTTTTTCCTCTCTTTTACTTGGGGGAAATCTTCGAGAAGATACTCCACCCCCTGGGGAAAGGTGAGGTTATGTGAGATTTTTACTCTCTAAAGCCCCCTCGGTGGCCCTCCCCGCCTCATTTGACGGCGTTCCGGGAATACTTGCGATAACAACCGGAGCACCGCCGCGTCGTGCCAGTTGTTCGGGCTCATCCAAATTTTAATACCTCGTTGTGCGGTTCTTCGCGGCCACAGCGCGACACCGCCCTCCTCGGACCGTCGGCTCCCAGGCATCCGAGCCCCCCATCCGTGTGCGCCCGGGCTGTGGTGGTGAGCGGGAAAGCTGACCCACCGTTACCACAGCCAGGGCAAAGGCGCGGTTGGGTTCAAAACACAACCGGTACGGCCGGCAGGGCGGCGAGCCTGCGACGCGATCGCCGCCAGTGCCTCCGTATGCGGGCGCTGTCCGCGCGTTCGCGGGTACGCTCCGCGGCCTCCTTTTGCAGCGTGACCTGCTCGCAGAAGGAGGCCATGTCCCTCCAGGTCCCCTCGCACCGTGGCATCTGTGGCATGACCACATAGAGCAAGAGGTCCCTCCCGAAGCTCTGGAAGAGGATACGGCGCTTCGCTGCCCAAGCTAGGCACTCCTCCAGCGTGTGTTGCGCCGTGTCAAGCTCGGCCCCGCAATGATGGCACTGTGCCGTCGCCTTCCTACCAATTCTGCACAGGTGCTCACCGAAACAACCATGTCCGATGAGCACCTGCGTGAGGCGGTAGGTAAGCCTACCTCCGTTGCGCACCCAATCCCATAGAATCGAGAGCACAGCTCCGACGGCTCTACGGCTCATGCTGCGCTCCTGAAGCAGCCGCTCGCGCCACTTCGCCAGGACGGACAGCCGAACCTGACGCCTGAGCGCATGGGCCTCCTCGGCGGGTAGACCACCGTCACGACGAAGAAGCTCGTTGACCCGAGCCTCCCCCGCCGCATCGAGGTCAAAGTGTGGTAACCCCGCCGGGACAATTGCCGCCTCGTGGGAGATCGTGCGGTACACTCTCACCATCCTGATGTACAGCCTCCTGGCCACACTGGCGAGCTTGTGACCGCTACGCCGTCTGGCCATCAGGTCGTCCGCCCAGGCTGGAGCACCATAAGGGGCCATGAAGCGGACGACTCCCGTATATAGGCGGCGAACCCTTTCGCCTGGTCCGCTTATATCGAGCAGCAAATGGCCTAGGGCCGCTGCCACCTCCTCCACGCGTGGTCCCGTGTCGTCAAAGTGCTCCCCAAAGCGCCAGTGTGTGTCCAGAGTCTGGCCGAGATATTTCAAGCGGCCCCTACCTCGACAGACGCATCACCCACCCGGACCCAGACTGGGGCGGGCGCCCACGAGACTTATGGCAGAACCATATGGCCTCGGTTTTGTGTGGTGCTATCTGCAACCCCATGTCCTGGATTCTTCGGGCGACACAAGCGACCCCGAGCTCAGCGAGTCGGATGGTCCTACCTCCTCCCTCCCGCCAGCCATAACGAGGGTGTCGTCAGCGTAGCATGTCACGCTGACACCGGCCGGGAGAGAGCCCCTCAGCTCCGCGTCATACGCGAGGTCCCGCAAGATTGATCCTAGAACCGAACCCTGCGGGACACCGCAGTGCATCGCCCTCCAGATGACTCCTCACCGGTCCGGGTATTCTATACTTCTACCTGACAGGTAGCCTCCGATCACCGCAACCAGTTACGGAGGGACCCTATGGTAGGTTAGGGCTCTCCTGATGGCGATCCAGGGCAGGCTATTAAAGGCGTTGATAATGTCAAGACTGACAGCCAACTTCACTCCGCCCTGGCGGACGACCGCATCGGATAGGGACCAACCTAACCTAACACCAGCACCTCCCTTAGGGTGGTCCGGTGCCTCTCGGAGATTTGCCCCACGTAAGAAAAGAATAGAAAAGAAAAAAGGATTATTAGCACTTCTTAGGACAGAACAGCACCGAATAGCACGGCCGCCACACCATAGCGTAGAAGCGAGCTACAGAGCGCAGTAGAGCACAGCAGTTCGCCGAAGAGCACTGAATAGCCCGGATTAGTGTTAGCATGTTGTGCACTATCAGTCCTTCCGATATGACTGCTGCTCGCTCATTTAAGGTCGTCTCTGTTGTATAGAGCCGACGCACTTCTTTCCCTTTCGGATCATCTCAGTCGTGTTGGTCTATAGCTCCTCGATCCGTTCGAATCACCGGAGCCGAGTCCGTGTGACTATTCTCCGATCAGTTCGGACAACCTCAGTCGTATCGGATAGGGTACTGCTCTTTCGGTACAGATCATCCCTGTCATACAAGTCCAAATTATTGCGGTTCCGTTTGGACAATGTAATTCGAGTAGCTATTTTTGATCTCCGATTCATATCTGTTCATACCAGTTATGCTGGTGTGACTTAGTCCGGGGCAGGTTAGACAATCTCAGTCATTTCAGCCCATGTGCTCCTCGTTACGTTCAAATAATTCCATTCGGTTCGGATTAACTAATCCCCGCTTGGTTTGGAATATCTGAGTTTTGTTAGACAGTATTCGCCACGCTTAGTTTGAATCACACCAGTCGTGTCGGGTTGACTTATCCTCAATGAAATCGGACAATCCTAGCCGTGTCTGACAAAGTGCACCTTGCTCAGTCCGGTTCATCCTAGTGGGAGCGTGACTCGAACTGGAACGATTGAGATTTTCCGAACCAAGCTGGGATAAGTCGAACAGTCCCGACTATCATGATCCGAAGCGTTGGAGGTGTACTCGGCCCGAAACGACTGAAATTGTCCGAACTGGACGAAAAGCACACAATTCGTGATGACTTGTGTGATCCGAACTAAAGGAGCTGCACCCTGATAGACTCGACTGATTTCCCCAACTGAACCGAGATAAGTCGGACTGGATTTGGATGATCCAATCTGGACATGGAGCCCTCGGACCATCGTGACCGAGATTGTCCGAAGTGATAGAAGATTAGTCGCACCGACGCGGCAGTTACAATAATAACAACTGAACAGAGACCATTCTGTCAGATACGACCGAAATTGTCAACACTGGACAAGAATATGTCGAACCTACACGATGAAGATGTTGGGAACTGAACGCGGTACCGTATGACCGACACGAATAAGATTGTCCGATCTGATAGCGGATAAGTCAAGCCGACACCACTGGTATTATGAAACGTGAACGAGAAGCACTCGTGCGAACAGAACTGAGATTGTCGGAAATAAACCGGCATAAGTTGGACCGACATGACAGGGATGACACAAATTAAACGAGGGCAACTCGGACAGAGACGACTGAGATTGTCCACACTGATTCGGAATAAGTCGCACCGACTCGACTGCAATGATCCGAAGTAAACGAGGAGCACATGGACCGACACTAATGAGATTAACCTAAGTGGACAGGGATAAGTCGGACCAACAGTACTGAGATTGTTCGGACTGAATCGGCATAAGTCAGGCCGACACGACTAGGATAATCCGGTCTACACGTTGAGTGATAGTTTCGACAAAACTGAAAGTGTTCGAACTGTGCATGGGTTATTCGGAGAGAAACGACTAGGTGGATCCGAACTGGACGAGGTGCACTTGGTCCGGCACGAATGAGATTGACCTAAGCAAACGTCATCGAGTCTAACATAAGCGACTAAGATTTTCCAAACTAAACTGCGATTAGTGAAACAGATATGACGGAGATAATCCGAACTGAACGAGGTACGCTTGGACCGACACTACTTGTGTTGTCCTAACTGAACATGGATTGTCGAAGCGGTACGATTAGCATGATCAGATCGGAACAAGGAACACTCGGACACACATGACTGACAATGTCAGAACTATAACGGGATAATACAGACCGATACGACAGGGGTGATACGAACTGAGCAAGGAGAACTGTGGCCAACACGACTGAGATTGTCCTGAGCAAATAAGTATAAGTCGGGGCAACACGATGGGGCTGTTCCAGCTGACCGAGGTGTACTCAGACCGCCCTGAATGAGATTATCCCTCACAAATTTCCTTAAGTCGGTCCTACACGAACTAGGTTAACCGATCTGAACCGGAACAAGTCGGATATTCAAAATAGAGGTTGTATGAGCTGAACAAGTATATGTTGAACCGACACACTAGGCTGGTCCGAAATGAATTAGGTTCACTCAGACAGACACGACTGAGATTGTGCGAACTCAACATGACAGAACTGCGATGATCCGAACTGAACTAGGAGCACTCGAACCGACATAACTATAATTGTACGAGATGAACAAGGACTAGCCAAGCTTTCACGACCAGGCTGTTCCGAACTGAACGCGGAAATTTCGTACCATCACGACTGAGATTACCGGGACTGGACGGGCATAAATCGGAAAGACAGGACCGCGATTGTTCGCACTGAGCTACAATAATTCGGCCGACATCGTAGGGATGATACGACCTTATCGACGTGAGTCGGAAAGAGACTGCAATGATCCGAAATGAGCGTGGTGCATTCGAAATAGCACGTCTTTGATTGTCCGAAATGAGACGGAATAAGACGAACCGACAAAACTGAAATTATCTGAACTGAAGTGGGTAAGCCGACAGACATGACTGGAATGATACGGAATGATCGGAAAGCAGGTCGATAGGACTGAGATTGTTCACACTGAACACAGGTAAGTCGGACCTACACGGCGGGAATGATAACAACTGAACGAGGATCACTCCACGTGTCGCGACTGAGATTTTCCGAACCGATCTTGGATAAGTTTGACAGACACGACTGCAAAGATACGAAATCGGACTGAGATAAGGCAGACCGATGTGAGAGGAATGATCTGCACTAAAAGGGCAGTACTAGGGCCGACACGAGTGAGATTATCCCAACTGAACGAGATTCATTCGGACAGACAGGATTCAAATAGTCCAAATAAAACCGGGGTAAGTGGGACAGACAGGACTGGGTGAACCGACCTGCACAGAGATATGTCGAGCCTGCACAACTGGGATGATCCGATCTGAGCGAGAAGGACTTGGACCCACATGACTGGATTTATCCCAAATGAACGAGGTGCACTCGAACAGACTTAACTGAGATTGCTTGTACTGAACAAAAGAAAAGTATGACCGAAACGACTGGAATGATCCGATTTGAACGAGGAGAAGTCGGACTGGCACGACTGGGATTGTCCGAACTTAACTGAGAATAGTAGGATTGATACAACTAGGATGGACAGAACTGACCAAGAAGCACTCCAACCGACACAACTGGGATTGTCCGAAATAGAACGAGATAATTCGATCCGACAAGCTGGGATGATCCATACAGAATGAGAAGCATTTGGACCGGCACGACAGATATTGTCTGGATTTACCCGAGCTAGGTCGTTCCAATAAGAGTGGGATGAACCGAATTGAACGAGTAACACTAAGACTGTTACGACAGAGATTGTGCGAACGTTACCGGGATTAATCGGTCGCACCTTACTAGAATGATACGAATTTATTGAGCATTGAATCATTGAACTCTGACCACTACTACTGAGACTCTCCCAACTGAACAGCTAGAAGTCGGATCGCCACGACAGCGATGATACGAACCGAACGAAAAACACTTGGACCGATATGATTGAGAATGACCGAAGTGAATCGGAATAAATCGTAAATGCACGGCTGAGATTGTCCGAACTGAAGGAGAATTACATGGGAAGGCACAACATGGCTGTCTGAACTGAACTGGGCAGTCCAACAGGATGGGGATGATCCGAACTGAACGACGAAAACTCTGATCGTCAGGACTAGAGTTGACGAACTGAACCGGGATTAGTCAGACCGACACGATTGGGATTATACTAACAGAACGAGGAGCACACAGAGAGACGCGATTGAGATTAACAAAAATGAATCAGAATATGTAAGACCGAAAAGACTGAAATGAACCCATATAATCGAGGAGCAGATAGAACCACACTCCTGAGGTAGTCCGAACTGAGCCGGTGTACGGTCGGACCATCACAAGTGGCATCATCTGAAGTGAACGTGGAATACTTGGACCGACACAGCGGATAATGTATGATCTGAAACGGTATAAGTCGGACAGAGACGACTGTGAAGGTTTACCGAAATGGTATACACGCGCCATATCCAATGCCAGA